TTCACATCCACTGTGTACTACGCCAACACAGCCATACGCACGATCTGTTAGAAAGTTTTTATCTTATCTTCAATTACCATATCCGGTCGTCTCGCTTGGTTGGCGCGCTTTGATTGGTCATTAAAATCTAAAAGTGTTTTGATGATACCATTTATCACCATAGTTGATGACAAATCACTTGCATAGTTTCCAGTGTATGATTGTTCCCACCATGCTGTGCGTAATTGTATAATTCTTTCTTATTCAAGTTTTACATTCATCGATATTGTATTTTACCATCCCATCTCTTTATCAGCAAAGGCGGCATCCACTGTTTTTCGGAGTTTTCTCATTAATTACTTTTAATGCACTTGTTCTAGCCGCTATGCTATTTTAAGCGTCCTCGGCAAAGTCGTATCTATGATTTTTCGCCCACGATTTTATCTCTATGCTTCTAAAATCGTCTATACAACGTTTGCACAAAAGATGCCTGGAAGTCAGCGCTTGGGATCGAGTGTCAGCAATTCTTGTCAATTCTCCATTAATTTCTGAAAATTTCTCACCGACATTTCTTTATATCAAGCAGTTTTTTCAGGGAGGGTTTTTGGAAACTTTGCCAGTACTCGAATGATTATCGGCATGACGAACAATTTTATTTTCAAAAGTTTCTTTATTTCTCAAAGAAGGTTTTAGTATATAACCATTTTTACTTTTACTTTCTTACAATTTCATTTAGCATTCTTCTTGGAGTGTCATGTCTACAATCAGAAATATATCTTCAGTTTCCCTCTTTAGTTTCTGAAGGCATTTTTTCATATTATTATTTTAATTTTCAACGACAGATTGATAAAATTAGTAGATATTTATGTAACATCCCTCTAATCATTATATATACCGTACAAGTCGAGTTTTGAAGCCTAAAAATATATTTTCAAAACTAGGGGTCAACTTATATCGTGGGTATAAGATGCAAATCTTTACCATCGAGTTGTGAATAAGTGGGAAAACACGCCTAACAATTACTGTACCGCCTACCGTATCTCCAGCAGGCTACCGCAAATATATACAACTTTACTAAAACTTGTGTTTGGCGAACATATTTGGCATATTAACACAGAAATAAACTATAAAATGATAAAATAGTCAAATAAATTCAGTATTCTATTTATGTTGCAGCACAAAAGGCGTCCAACAGCTAAAACACTAATTGTAAACACTGACGAAAGCGCCGTTTAACACACTGATGCAAATGGCGGATAAGTGATACAATAACATACGAGATACGTAGCAGTGCTATCCAAAATCTACGTGGTGTGATGAGTAATCGTTAATATTTTATAAGGATTAATGTTGATTTTAATGTGTTTATCTGCCGACCTGAGGCGCTTTAAATGTTCGCTAAGTTATACTAATACAATATGCGATACTGACCGTTGTGTGTTGTAGGTTGTTTGCTATACAACGCAAATAGAAAAAAATATGAGGTTTAGTGTCGCAATATACAGGTAAATGGTGTAACCTTTTGTAGTTTTCGCATGTACTGTAGCTCAGATCACTTTACCGGTAGGCTTAAGTTTTAAGCCACTGATAGACTACTGTATGTTTGAGGGTCGACCTATACACGATAGGAAATAGGCCGAACCTAGAATTTTGAGATAAAATTCTTGAGGTCAACTTGTACTACCCAATTTACGGTATAACGTGTCGAATTTAGTACGTAAAAAGTTTAATTCCCTCTAATGATTACATATATAACGAGTAGGATTTATTAAACAAATAAGTCAAACCTTTCATTCCCTCTAATGATTACATATATAACGAGTCTGATTTATTAAACAAATATGTCAGACCTTTCATTCCCTCTAATGATTACATATATAACGAGTAGGATTTATTAAACAAATATGTCAAACCTTTCATTCCCTCTAATGATTACATATATAACGAGTAGGATTTATTAAACAAATATGTCAAACCTTTCATTCCCTCTAATGATTACATATATAACGAGTAGGATTTATTAAACAAATATGTCAAACCTTTCATTCCCTCTAATGATTACATATATAACGAGTAGGATTTATTAAACAAATACATCAACATTTTCATTCCCTCTAATGAATACGTATATAAAAAGAATGATTTATTAAACTAATTTACAAAAAATGCCCTTTATCGGCACCCCAACGTTCCATCAACAGACTCATTCATCGACAGATAATTATTTTCGGAGTAGGACTTAGTAAGCATCATTTCTTTGAAGAAGTAAGTTCGAGTGACACAACGGATGTCAACAGATCGGTCATATTCCTCTCCTCTCCATGTATATAGCTTGTCTCTTTTCATTTGGAAAAGAATGACTTGGACGGACATCAAAGCCCTTAACGTACCGGAGTGCTCGTTTTTCGGTTTTATATAAAATCCCAGACACAGAGTATCCGTTCCTATCAGCATTTCACGTCCACGGTGTTCAGACGATTACCAGTTCGGGTCATCAAAATTCGGACTCGCATGATAGTGTCTGGAATTACATTAAAATTCACAATATCGTTTTACAATTTTCGTCTAAACTAAGAAACATAGAACGGCAGATTGGCTATCTTGCATATCACATTGATTATTTGCCAGAATAAATCATCTAATAATAATTTTCTTGCTCGAAACATACGCAAACAAATTTTGACAGTATTAGTTTTTTTTACAATTCCTTCTTCACAAACTGCACATTTTTTTTGTTCTAGGGTCAAATTTTTACCTTTCTTTAAAGAAAAACGCACAGCATACAGAAAATGTGACATCCTTCATCTTCAATGAATGAATTTGTTTGAATATGCTCTAATAAACAAACTTTTTCACAATTTAGCTTAAAAACGGTTTAATATAACAAAATAAAAAACTGGCCCCCTTTTTTTTTAATTAATTAGCGACAGGTATTATCTAACCTCAAAAACAGAAGGAATGTTGCATCAGGAAACAAATACTAGTGTATTCATATATACATATAAGTACATACATGTGTACGTTTTTGTATTTCTCGAAAACTTTATTTACTAAATCTCGCATAGTCTGGCGACAATGCCTGTGTTGTTTGCAACCAGGTATGCAGATTATCATCTGGACTAAGGAGACATAACGGTTGTACATATGCAACCCAGTCAACTCAATCAACTTTACAGAGTTTATCTCTCATATATACATGAGACTTTTGAAATCAAATGCTCGTCACAAGTGTCATCTTAGGCGAGAAATAGACATCGAAACCAGACGGATGCCATTACTAGTGATGCGAAGGGTGGGAATGCGGCTCTCATCTGAGCAAGATGCGGCAATCATCAAAATAATCATTATATATATATATATATATATATATATATATATATATATATTGTATTTGGGCAGCAATATTTCTTTTATACAAGTTTCATTAAAAACGACTGACAAGGTACTGCGGTTAAAGTCTTTTTAAAATTTATTTCCTTGCTATAAGTTGCAAAGATATTTGTTAATTATTCCTTTGTTTAAGTACGTCATCATTAATATTTTGGTTAAATCCGAAAATAATGAAGCACAATACCATATCAACTTAAGTATTTATGACGACGAACTTAAACACAGACAAATATTTACGAAAAAGCTTTGCAACTTATAGCAAGGAAATATTAAAAAAGAAACTTAAACTAAGTATTTTGTCAGTCGTTTTGTAATGAAACTCTCTCTCTCTCTCTCTCTTTATTTATATATATATATATATATATATATATATATATATATATATATATATAAAAACTTCTCTCTGTTAAATTTTAATACCCACCTTCTCTTGTCTGTTACTCCTCCATAGCTCTAACATTCGTCCAACACTCTCATACTTACACTCTCTGTAAATTTTTTTTTTATTTCAGGAGTTGTTTTTTCTCTTTTCTTTTGAATTTGTAGGTCTGATGAATTGGATCGTATTAACGATTCCAATGGAATAAATTATGACCATGGAATATTAGTGTTTAAGCCTTTTTTTATATATATATATATATATATATATATATATATATATATATATATATATATATAATATATAAATTTTTGACAAGTTTATCTTTGAACTTGTTGAAAGACGACAGATAAACATGGCAAATAAAGTGCATAATTTAAGAAATTTAAATAATTTGAAACATAGTATGTTTGTACATATTTATATGTACTCACTTGTGATTAATATATGCTTATATACGTATCAATAAGCTTTTTGCATAAGATTTGAATGACACAATTAAACATTGTCCAGTACTTCTGATCGAAACCAACTTATGTTGTCGTTTTGTGATTAAATACGAAACTAACGGTTATTTTTAGGGCAACTCCGCATCCTAGTTCCGGTCAATACCCGAAAGCGACCCTCCCAAATAACATGTCCTCGGTCTGCGTCAAATAACCAGCAGAAACGCACGCGGCTAGTCCGTCCAAAACTACCCATGAGATTCTGGAAGGTCTTGATACCCGAACATCCTGAGTACTTTCCATGTAGGTAAAAATACAATTTTCATCCGATAATATTTTCCTCTGACCTAATTTCTTATGACAGTCGCAATAAGTTTACAGTAAAACGCAGCTGCAGGATTTGCCTCTTTGGTTGTTCGCGCCATGCGCATTTCTGTCGCCAAAAAAAAGAGCCTTCTCTGTTGCTAATACCTTTGTTTAAATATGGCCATTGAAAGACTTGAGGAAATTAATACAGAAACAAAATATATAACGTTTCCAATACTACTACTACTACTAATGATGATGATAATATTAATAATACGCATAATATATAATTTATATTTTAATTTTCTTACACATATAAGAATATATATTTGAAATGTATTTAAAAACGCTTTTTAATTATTTCAAACTGTCAGCACGCTTACACATTGCTTTTGAAAAGTGTGAACGAACAGTAGCGCTCGGGAGCGTTACTAATAAACAGCTACCCATTTTGAAAAATCGCTAAGAGCTGAAACAATTAATAGGTAAATAAAACAATGATGTTATCTATCTATCTATCTATCTATCTATCTATCTATCTATCTATCTATCTATCTATCTTCATGTCTATCTATCTATCTATCTATCTATCTCACAGTTCACCGCTCTAATGCTGTTCATATGTATATTTAAATTAAATCTATAGATTTTCATAAAATGCCGTGAGGATGCAACATAAAACATATTTCTTTGTCTATTATAACTGATAACATTCATTTTCCTGATAATGAGAGATGGTCGGAAGAAATTGAACAAATACATTATGAACTTTGAAATTTTTCTCCATAAAATTGGACTGGTTGTGTGACAATTTCTAAAAAAACTGGAAAATGTAATAAAAAATATAACGAAGAGAAATTGTCGGTCTATTTTAATAAAATTTGAGTGAATATTTTCTTCTTCTTATTTATCTTTATATGCAGATATGCTTCAGTGTAACTATGATTACTTTTTCCTTTTCTTTAATTCACTCTCTGTCTCTGCCTCTGTAATTGCCTATTTTCTCTCTTTCTCTCTATCTCCATCTCTCTCTCTCTCTCTCTCTCTCTCTATATATATATATATATATATATATATATATATATATATACAGTGTAACCCGGATATAAGAGAGTTGTCGGGACCGGAGAAGAAGTCTCTTATACCCGGGTTTCTCTTATATCCGGGTTTGGTCTATTTTATATACATTAACATAGGCTCTAATTTGGGACCAGAGAAAATCTCTCTTATATCCGGGTTTCTCTTATATCCGGGTCTCTTATATCCGGGTTACACTATATATATATATATATATATATATATATATATATATATACACATATTTAAAGACGAATGAAATTTCTTGGTCAAGGATTTTTGTTTATTTTCAATATTTATTTATTATTCTATACTTTCAACATAGTAATAAATCTTGTATCGATATTTCTAGACTTTTATATCGATATTTCTAGACTTTAACATTGTATCGAAACTTGTATCGATATTTCTAGACTTTTGTATCGATATTTCTAGACATTTGTATCGATATTTCTAGACTTTTAACATTGTATCGAAACGTATCGATATTTCTAGACTTTTGTGTCAATATTTCTAGATATTTCTATAGATATTTCTAGACTTGTAACATTGTATTGAAACATGTATCAATATTTCTAGACATTCGTATCGATATTTCTAGACTTTCAACATTGTATCGAATCTTGTATCAATATTTCTAGACTTTCGTATCGATATTTCTAGACTTTTGTACCGGTATTTGTATCGACGCTTGCAATCAATGCCGAATTGGATTTTTGTTAAGGGATCTTTCTTCAAATACTTGGTTGATTTTTTTGTGTTGTATCGAAGCTTTCTGTACAAGTCTGAAATTTTAGAGAATAATTCTTGTTTCAGATTTTTATCCAATGTGGCAAAACTTATACAGTAAATTATTTTAGGAAAATCTATCACAAAGTAGAAAAAATTTTCATGTGACGCGTTTCGTTCTTTAGGACGTCATCGGGCTAAAGTAATGGTTAAATTGATGCGGCTGCACGAAAGAAAGTGGACGCTAAGAATTTTAAACTTTTAAATTTATTTTTTTTTAATATATGTTTTTGGGTCTATAGTCTAACTGATTTCATTTAGTTTGTTTTTCTTTTTTGCTTATGTTTTTATCACTTTTTCTTATTAAATATCCCACATTGTAATTAGAGACGGTCTTTCAAGATGAAATGTTATAAGAACAGTAAATTTACTGGGGATCATCTATAGCGATTAAAGCACTTTCTATAGGTTTTTTCTTAGTAAATTGCTTTTTCTATGAATTAAAGTAGCATTTTTTTAAACCAAAATTATTGCCGGACTTATTACGGTGAGCAACTAATGCAATGAGTTTGTGTTGTGTGAAAAGTCCCTTTTGTGTTCATATAATCTTTTAGTTAAATTCTTTGCGGTTTCTCCTATGTATTTGTTGTTGCAATCATTACAGCTAATAGAGTAAATTCTTCCTTAAAGTTTCCGTTTATTATTTTGTTTTGTATTAAGTTTGTTTTTATTGTTTTTAGAAGTAGTTGTAACAAATTATATTTTAAGCTTGTAGAATAATATATTTTAATCCGTTGGATTCGTATTATAAAAAATGATGCACTAAAGAATTCAGGAAGCAATTTAACCCTTTAGCGACAAGAGAATCATTATTCCGCTTTTAATTTTTCCGTGTTTAAAAACATTTACTTTGGGACAATTTATTTCTACTTTCGCTATTTACCCGATTTCTTATAAGAATTGTTTCCATAAATTGTATAAGAATGATAATAGGAAAAAACATCTTAGTTTTTTGCCAACGCGTTTCGTCTTCCGACTTTATCAAGGCAAAATTGAATCAAAATATTTTTGCTTTCCTAGTTACATTTTAAATCCAAAATTTAAAAAATAGAGACGCGTTGGTGTAAGCCTTTTTCTGGCTAATGTTAACTTCCTTTATACTATGAAAACAAAATCATTTCGATTCAATTTTGCCTTGATAAAGTCCGAAGACGAAACGCGTCGGCAAAAACTAAGATGTTTTTTCTATTGCCATTTTATAAAAAATTTGTCTTATCCACATAATTGTTCTAGGACTTTTATTATATTATTTTCATAAATATGTAAATATTTCAGATTCATTTTATGTTTGTTTTTTGCTGTTCAAGTCAATGTTTTGTTAATTTTTGTCTCTCAAATTTTCCCAAGTCACCAAAAATTACAGACAGTAAAATTATTTTTTTCTTTACCTGAACTGTCTGCATGTGAAAAATCTAATTCCGATGACATGAGGTTGAATCAATTTCTATATTTGCTGGTAGGAAATAGCCAAATTATGCCAAAAATGGAGTACCATTGTAATGTTTGGACGGGAGCTGTCCAGACGCCCCACCCTTCAGTCTAAAAGCGTCTCTGAGTCCTTGTGGGCAACGAATTATTTTCCACCTTCCAATCTCTCTCTCACAGACGAGATGTGGCAAACCTCTCACTGATCTATGGCTACTTCCACGGAAAGTGCTCAGACGAATTGTATTCCTTGGTTCCGCCAGGCTTAATCTTCAAGGCCACGACTCTCCATGCCACTTCCATAGTCGCAAATCACCCACATTCCCCCGTATTCCATCGGTTAAAAGTAGATTCCACTTTAAAAACTTCTTCCCGTGAACCACAGCTCTGTGGAACCGACTACCAAGAAGATGCTTCCCCGATCACTACAATCTTAACCTGTTCAAGGCTAAGGTTAACTGATATCTTCCCTTCCTCTCCGTACAAACTACCTCTTAACGTAACCCTCTACCTTGAGTGGCCTTCAGGCCTTGTGCAGAGCAGGATGAATCTTACTGTTAAAAGAAATGTTTACGGAATTCTGTGTATAAAAATATTGAAAAGAAGGCAAAATACATCATTCATTATCAGGAATGAATACAACCATTTTTAACAGAATGATGGCGTAATATGAACAGATTTTAAGAATATGTTCATCTGTAAAACTAACCATAGTTTTTTTCTTCTTTTTTACGGCATACCAACCTCTATGGATTATTTAATGCCGACAAGATTTTTATTGCTGGTAATTTTTTTTTTTTTTTAAATATATTGCTGCTAATTTTTTTTTTTTTCAAAAATGTATTGTTGCTAATATATATATTTTTAAAAGTATTGCTAGTAAAAAAAATTTTCTTCAAAAATTCATTGCTGGTAATAACCTTTTACAAAAATGTATTGCTGGTATTTAAACCTAGTTTTACACTTTCATAGTGTTTTGGCCCCAGTTTGGGGGTCAATTATTTGCCCATAGCTGGGATCCTAACAGGTGCTACCATCCCGTGTCAGGGTGGAGCTGGGAACACCAGCAATTAAGAGGTGGTTCTACGCTTTTCAAAACCTGATCAGAGGCCTTGCTGCTGGATGTAGTTTATCGTCTTACTCAGGACATAAATGTACTTGATCTAAATGTAGTTCAGGGGTCGGCAATCTTTTGTTAATTATGTGCCGACTTAGGGTTTTAAAATCATTCAATGTGCTAACAGCATACGTATTTTTATACAAGTCAAGATCAGTATACCTATTCTACAATATATTTTATATAGTAATATATAGTATAGTTTAGTATATATTAAAATTGAAACAGCTAAATATCTCCTTTGCGTTGTAGGAGTTATTGGTTCGGACTTTGTGATGTCATTTGCGGCCGCGTGTCATTGGAAATTGCTTGACGTGCCACGTATGACACGCGTGCCGTAGGTTGCCGACCCCGGCTATAATTTCGCGTGTCTCGGGTATTTCCCATGTCTCTGACCCCCCCCATAAGAAACAAACCTAGTAATTGAAGTGCCCAGAGTTTTAAATATATGTATCTAAATTGCTGAGTTTGTTTGGAAAAAATCTCATCCCTATAGACACACACACAACCACACACACACACACACACACATATATATATATATATATATATATATATATATATATATATATATATAAAAAGGTAAAAATCTGTTGGTATATAATCCACAAAAAGAGTTCAATATATTTATTATTACAGAGCAAAAATTAATGCACAATAAAATCCAAGATCTATGCCTATATATAAAACAGACGAATTATATTTTCGTCCTTCGAAATAAGCTTATTCTCATATGAGGTGATTTGGGATTTTATTGTGTGTGTGTGTGTGTGTATATATATATATATATATATATATATATATATAAAACAAAACATACTTGATAATGGCTAATTGAATAGCCGAAATCGTTCGGATTTATTGAACATTTATTGAACAGAAAATACAATTCTGTATTAAAGATTGGTGGGGGACATGAAAATACTTTATAAATGTAAGAAAAATTGAATAAAAACCTTAATGACAGTGTCTTGTCATTCGTCTTCAATAAAAATATCATACCTTGTCTAGGATTCTGTTTCAGGCTACATTATGCCTTGATCTAAATTTTCTTTTTTTTAAGGATAATTTTGAATTTAGCGTAGGTCTGACAACTGATTGTTTAATCAGGGTAAACCCACAAGCCTCATTTTAATTCTGATCTAGTGTTTTCTCGTTTTCTCTTCTCTTTCGAAAATAGAGTGGGTAT